CACTGTAAGAAATAAAGTCGGGTGTCCTTCTGCAGGATTGTGTCTGGTGATCGGCATGTGTGACAAGTGACATACTCCTTGATATATCTTCTCAAGACATTTTCTATCTGTTTCTGTTGGAATCTTCCTTTGATTACAAGCTGATTATTACCATCTATAGAGCCACTTGTACCCAATTCAGCCAATAAAAATGCAAGGAGATGTTTTGGCTGACGATGTAATAGTTTACAGATATCTGTGAAGTTAACAAAAGAAGTTTTCTTCGTTCCTACTCGGACGACCTGTGGAGGTTTCATGACGAATTTCCTTTTCTCTCCAGCAACCATATCTGGATTCTTTTCCCTCATGATGTTGAACACTCGATTCAGTAACTCTTCACATGTATAGTCTCTTTCTGAGCCTGCCCAAGCAGGGCCTGTCCGTTTACTGAATGAGATACCATCATCTTTTTTACTATCTTCATCTTCTAGAGCTTCATCTTTCTCTAGTATTTCATCCTCATCTGGGAACTTAACATTCTTCTTTTTCTTCTTTTTCTTGCCAAGCATAATGTCAAGGTCATCCTCTGGTTCAGCTGGTTCTTGAACATCACTTTCAATCTTAAGATCCTTTACACCTTCTTCAGCTTCATCAATGTCAAATATCTTTTTTGTCTTTTTCTTTTGATTAAAGAAGTTCAAGTCGTCTAGATCATCAGAAGCATCTTTTTTCCTACTGTCCTCCTCTTCAGCTTCCATATCTTTGTCCTCAGTCAGCTCTGGCTCCCCTTCTTTTGTTTCTGAGGGCTGGGTTTCCTCTGTTTGGGCATCTCCTTCCTCATCTAACATAAAGGGCTTCTTCTTCTTCTTTTTCTTCTTGCTCATAGTAGGATCAAAAATCATCTCGTCCCCGGACATGGCTGCGGTTCGAGTGGGCTCGGCACGGACGAGAACTCGGATGGGTCAGGCTCAAGCCCTGGCAGCAACACCGATACTGCCGATACCTCCCCCACCACCGCACTCCAACTGCCCTTTCTTGATGCTAAAATGCGGAAGAGGAAAGTCATTTTGAGGAAAAGTGCAGTGGAGGAAGAGCTCATGATGAAAGCTCACATGATGAGAATGAGATGGAGTTGTCAGGCAAGGGCTGAGATGACACCCCGGTCTGGCCGGTTTGGATCTTATGTGACCTTCACCTCATGTCTTCCATTCTTGTTGTTTTGTAAATTCTGGTTCAACCTAAAAAGTGTGCATCTTGAGCAGTTTAGGGCAATTGATTTAGGAGATTAACTTTTGAATTCAAATGTTGTTTTGGGTCATGGGTTATGTCAGTTGTTGTTTAAGGGTTAACATAGTTTTTACTTCGAACTTTCATGTATAAAACTATGATTTTTGGAAATGATAGGACACAACAGTCTTGGAGAGGAAACTCTCACTGTTCTCCAGAATTGCTGGCCTTCTGACAAATAAAATTTGGTGGACTTATCCCTGGGTCTGTGTGTAGGTTGACAGTGACAGGAGGCTGGACCCTCTTTGTCTAGTAACAATAAGGAGATTAGCAAGATGGTAAACTAAACCCACTTCTGCAAAAGTGAAAGCAAACCCAAAAAAGGCATCAGGAAAGAATAAATCTTTAGCCAAAAATAAAAAATGCAACCAAAAGGAAAGGGAGAGCAATACACAAACAGGCCCAAGTGGCTAACCAAGAAACTAAAGACAATTTACTTGCAGAAAATAGAGAAACTAAAAAAACGAGGAAGTCACATACCATGATAAAACCTGGGATGTGATATTGATCAGATCTGCCTTCTTTCTCTCCTGCTTCTTGAGAGACTACTTCCTCCTCCACAGCAAAAGGATTCTGGCTTTGTTGGTTCTATTTATACCTGTCAGAGCAAGGTCCTTTTGGATTGTATGACACAGGATTGAGAGTAATGGGACAGCATTGATAGGCTATGGCTGTGGTGGTATGGGTGTGTGTGTTGAGGGGTAGACAGAGGGAGCAGCATGGGAGCTATAGTGGCACATGGAGGAAGTGGGTGGGAGAAGAAAGGGGAGGACAGACTGTTACTTTGGTGACCCCCTAAGCTCTGTTTGCCAGGGTTCATACTCTTACAAAGTCTTTTCCCTTGAATCTGGACTGGCCTTATGACCTGCTTTAACCAGTAAATGTAGCACAGGGCCAGCTCTGTGCCAAAGCCTGCAGAAGACTGGCAGATTTAGCTTTTGCACCCTTGTGAACCCAGATGCCATGAATAGGGTGACCAGACATCCCACTTTTTAACAATTTGTCCCACAGAGAACAGGAAGGAAATATATGGTTTTCAGCTGCCATGTGGCTATTTCGCCAGGATATGAGTTTTATATTATTTTTGTTAATTTTATGTTAAACTGTAATAATAATAAATAATTGTTGAGAAGTGGTTATCCAGAACTGCTTATCAAAGTTTGCATTGTTGTCATGCCCTGCCCTGCCCCGTCCCCTGCCCCACCCCACCCCGCCCCGGCCACATTGTCCTGCTTTACCAATGTTAAAATCTGGTCGCCCTAGCCATGAACAAAGCCAACTATCAAGAGGCTGCCATGCTATGAAAGCCTGATAGAGACACACGGAAGAGCACTATTGTGGGCTGAATGTTCGTGTCTTCCCCAAATTCATAGGTTGAAATCCTAATCTCCAGTGTGACTGCAGTTGGCAACAGGGCCTTTGGGGGATAATTAGGTTAAAAGTCATGATGATGGGGTCCTCACTGAGAGCACATGTAGTGTGAATAAGATGGAGTCGTCAGACCAGGGCTGAGATGACACAGCTGGTCTGACCAGCTTAGGTCCTATGTGACCTTCACCTCATGTCTTCCATCCTTATTGTTTTGTAAATTTGCCTTTGACCTAAAAGTGTATATCTTGAGTAGTTTAGGACAATTGATTTGGAAGATTAACTTTTGAAATGGAATGTTGTAATGTGGATCATGGGTTATGTCAATGTATTGTTTACTATGGGTCATGGTGGTCACGGGTTATGGCAATTACTGTCATTTAAACTAAGCATTAAGTACTGTTGTTTAAGATAAGAGTTAGTACAGTTCTTGCTTTTAACTTT